ATATATATAACTCTTTGTTATGATGTTTAACTGCCATGTGTGGGTACATGGCAGTTTAGCAATATAGCTAACCTGTGATTATTTGCAGCATGACCATGTACACGCATTCTTTCATGGATGAAATGTGGTGGATGTCATATGCTTAAGATCAAGAGATTGCTTGTTTGAGATTCTTCCAGCACAATGTTTTTTTGCCACCTACTCACAGTTCTTCACTTTTCTACTTCTCACCAATAAAAGAGTACAGATGAAAGTAAAAATGAACCTCATATGATGCTGACTTCCTGCTTTAGCACTCTTGTAATGACTTAATGTAGAATTTAGAAATACATGTACATGGTACATGGTCACATGTATAAGAGTAATTGTGACATGTCTACTGGTGTGATGAGGCTCAGGGACATATCATTTCTACTAGTTATTGTGATTTTGCTTTGGACTGTGGGTGGGAGCTGGAGCACCTGGAGGCAGTCCACACCCACCACCCAGAGGAAAACATGTAACTTTACACAGAAAGGTCAGTTCACCCACCGTGCTGCCTGCTATTAAATATTCAAATGTATTTCTCTGTGAAGGTGACTTCTGTTTACCATTTTCAGGGAAACACTTGGATTCACACCTCATTTTGAATGTCCCCGGCAGGTCATGGCTCCTATTTTAAACGTTCTTGGTCTAACAAGTCCAACAACTAAATCATTGCTCTTCACCCTCCACAAAACTTACAACAGCCTTAACATGTTATGACCCAGTGTCTGTACAATCCAAGAGGCAAGGAGAAAGTAAAGTGAAAGAGAGAAAGATGGAAAGATTGAGATGTGACCAAGACCACGAGTCTGCAATCAATTAAGGACCTAATGGAAATTCCCGAGGCCTTTATGTTTCAAGGAGAAAGAAAATGTATTTTCAAAACCCTGACAGCTTGATTAAATGTTACATCCAATGACATTTGGAATAGACTGAGATTGGCATTTCTGTGTTGCCATGAAACAAGCAGTCATCATCTCAGCAATGTAATAATAATGTTCAACAGTAAGACTCATTACAGTAATTAATGAACAGCCTGATCCTGCCAAGCCCAACTCAGACGGATTCCAGGCTTGATTTCCCTGTGATGTTCTATGGTGGGCAAATTTAACTGAGATAAAGCTAATGAACTGCTCGGATTTCTGCTACAAGACAACAAAGCACTGTTTGTCTCACAACAGTAAATTTGAAAGTAGAATCTGTGTTGAAAATATCCTTTTAATAAGTGAGATGAAACTATGAGTGTACTCGTAATCTACTGTTTTTAAACAAAATCTGCATGGCAATTTAAGTAGAAGATTTAATATTTGGAAAATGTCTTAAAAAAGACAAAAAAAGGTAGCCCTGCACACCGTCCAGGGTGTACCTTAACTACTGGGTTAGGCTCCAGTCCCCCTGCGACCCCATTAGGGAACAAGGAAAATAGATTGATGGATGAAAAACAGATGTGGAAGAAGTAAAATACATATTGTGTCTTATAACTGCCACAGCACAGGACAACATAGCAGAAGCAGGGTTAGTTTCCATTGCAGCAAAATTATTTGAAGACACTTTGGTCCTCATTTATGCTTCTTCTTGGTG